CGGCGAAAGGTGGGCGAAAGGTCTTCATACGTACTTGAGAATGTCACAGCCTATCATGAAAGATGAAACGAAAACCAGGTTGCGAAATTCCAAGTTTTAGTTGGCGCGGGAAGGCCGCGAAAGCTCCGCGAAAGGCGCGGCGAGTGATGGGTTTTCGGGAAAAGGAATATTTAGAACAGCCCCCAAATACTGGCTGCATAATATGCATCTATATAATACGGGCCCATGCTTCGTTGACTTGAAAGCCTTCACATTGGGGGTAATGTCCCTCCAATTTCCATCCGATTCTATCCCCAACTAGAGGCACTGTTTCCATTTCATGCTCCATGTGATTTTCTATCTGATTGTCCATTGTTTTTTACCTAGCCGGAACCCTTGATAAGCCGCACGGAGAGCCATATGGGTATAAGATTTTGGGAGATGCTAGAGAGCTGACATCTAGTCCTGATGTGGTCGTTCTCAGCTTGAAGATTCTTGGGTTGAAGTCTGGACATGTTTCCCTAAATTCCCGAAATTCCTAGACCCCAAGCCCGAAACCCAGTAACCGCAGATTTGAATACCTGGCATTGTAGTTCAGGGCTTAGGGTCTAGGGTGTTTTGAGGAAGTAAGTGACTGTTAGGTGCTGGAGCCCTGAAGGCGGTTGTGTCAAAATTGTTCCTAGTTTGCTGCCTTTGATGGCGCGACCCACTGCCCTCTGACCTGGCATAAACTATAAGCTCTGTCGATCCTGTAAAGCTGGGCCGGTGGGATTATGATTGCCAGGGAGATATTCACATATCTCTATGCCCTTGGCCTGTATCCTGAACACCATCGCATATATCTATGCCGCCTATGCCCTACAGGCCTGTATCCTGCATGACCAAGTCAAGCAAGCAATCCTCAATCCTACAGATCTTCTAAGGTATAGCACCACGAACCTCGTGTCGGAGGAGCTTCATGAGTGCTATGTGTTGATGAAAGATAAAGGGGATTCTGGAAGGCTTGATGGAGTTTTGCTATCAGCCAGGTTGGGCAGAAGCTCCTTGGAAGAAAATACAACATGCCGCAATTCTAGCGACTCAAGTGGAGTAGTCTGCATGCTACATAGGCTGTACCCTTTCCAGAGTCCATTCGAAGAATTGTCGCGTCATGTGTCATCCTGAACATCTTCGTCAACCTCGTGCGAGCTCCTTCGCCGCCGCCGCTTCTGCTCTTCGTCGTCTTCATCTTCATGTTTCTGCATGTGTTGTCGTTGTTGCTGTTGGTGGTGTTGGCGGCGGTGGCCGTGGTAGTGGTGGTGATGATGATGATGATGATGACGATGATGACTTCTTTTGCTGCTGATGACGCTGCTGATGAAGAAGAATAATGTCATAATGGTGAAGGCGATGCTACTGATGATGCCGCTGCTGCTGATGATGCTGATGATGATGGTGGTGGTGGCGGTGGTGGCGGTGGTGGCGGTGGTGATGATGCTGATGATGGTGATGATGACATGATGAAGATGATGATGATGATGATGATGATGGTGACGATGGTGAATATGATGATGATGATGATGAGGAGGACGATCTCATTGTTTTTCCTTTGCGTGCACCTAGTTAGTTTTCCGATGCTGCAATTTGGTCACACGTGGAGCTTTGGTTTACATGCCGTCATACACATCCTTCCCAACTGCATGCGTAGCTTTGCAGCCTCTCGAGCTCCAGAAAGCTTGTTTGGAACTATCGACCTTGATGATCTGATTTCAGCATGATGTGGACTCAGATACCTAACCACCACAAGGGCCTCCAAGATACTTCCTAATTTGGGGTTCTTATAATCCTGATAACAACCAGAAATATGATTTGTTGTGGGGTTCTGAGTCCGGTTAAGACTAGAATCTGCTTCTGGGGTGTACTACACGCGCAGAAGTCTGCAAGGATCATGGGGGTATATTTGTTGGAGTTTAGGGTTTAGCTTCCAGAGTAGTTCATACATGTCCCCCACCAAAGAGGTCCCGGTTAGGGTGATCCCTGGGGTCTCATACCAATCCTCTGCAGGTGCTTCTTTGCGGATAAGGGATGGATACTACAGTAGTTCCTCTGTGATTTGCTTCCTTAAATACCGTCCCAATTATCTATGTGACCGATTGCCAATGCCATACACGACTTGCAGTATGTGCAATTTCCGTGCAACTTTGAATCTTGCAAGACGGTTCCTTGCAGCAGTTGGAGTCCAGAAGGTATTGTCAACTGTTGTATTGTATCTAGAGGATTGCATTGCCCCCTGCAGATGTCTCAAAAAACATTTTGTGCCTCAAGAAGCAGTAGGCAGCAAGTATGTGGATAACGTATTTCCTGAACAGCTAGCCTGTTGCCTAGGGATGCATGTCTACAAATAATGCCTACATTGGGTCCGAAAGTCCATGAACAATACCTACATTGGGCTATTTGCCTCCTCGGCCGCTGCTATGCACGTGTTTGGTCTGTTTGTTTCTTTGCGACCGAGCTGGTCTTGTTTTTGCTATGAACCTGATCTCAACACTTTGCATCTCAACACTTAAGGTTCAAGGATTAGGGATGCGAACAATTTCCATCCTGCTTCTGATGGTGCTGTCATCACCATGTTGTTTCTACCCAGACCCTCCTATGTAGTTCCTTTTTGGCTACTATACTGGAACTCCTTACCACAAAAAACATAACAGACCCCAAAAAGGAACTACATAGGAGCCCTTGGGTAGCTGATCTCTGCTCCCGTGGCTTGAAGCTTTTAGCAGATGCCAGGGCTTTGAGAATACCACGCCCAGAGCCTCAAGTCCCTTCAGAAACCCATAGGAGCTGTAGTCTAAATTCCTCAAAAGGGTTATATAGGGGAGTATTGTAGGGGCGATTAGGGGGGGTACTAGGAGTTTAGACTATAGCTCATATGAGATTATATCGGGGAGTATTTTAGGGGTTAGTATGAAGGGGATAGTCGGTCGGAGTTTAGATTCTAGCTCATAGGCTGTGAGCTTCCAAGTGTTCCCAGCAACTCGAACGGGCGAATGTTCTGGAAAGAAGTGGTCCTCGTGCTTCTTGCTTCAGTGCGCGTTTGCTGTCTAGAATTGAAGGGCTGGAGTCTCAGATGTTCAGGCGCAGTGGCAGGCCCAGGCCAGTACATCGGCTGAATCTCTAGAAGCCTGGGTTCTCTGCACGCGTGGAGGCCGCTCATGAACACTGGACAGAAACTCTGAACCCTAGGATCTTTACTTTTTTGAAATTCCGATGCTCTCTCACACAACAGAACCTCCGACAAATAGAACGATTGCGGGGATGCTTGTTTTGAGCGCCAAGACTCGGGTCAAGGTCCTGTGGCAAGTCGCGCAAGGTTTCTCCATGTACCCGCCTCTGACATAGTTCCTGGAGGTCCAGATGCCCAATATTGGGGAATTGGGGATTTGAGGCATCATAGTCTGCTAGGCATTGATCCCAACCTGATGCCGCACGAAGATGTAAGGATACCAGCCTACCATTTTTCTGGTTGCTGTGGTGACCTGAAACATGATTGTGGCGAGGACACTTGGATGAACCTCCCCCCTGACGCCTTCATCATGAGGCTGTCTCCCAAAGGATCCCAAGCACCTACATAGGGGATACGAGCCCAAACCACATTACTCTAAACCCTAAACCCCATAGAAGCCCTACTGCAGATACTTGGGATCCTTGGGTCTACGGTGGTGCCGGGCCTGTCGGGTCTTACGTGTCAGGAGGTTCTACTAATAGCAAGCCCCCTCCCGCAAGTGTTGCGCCCTGGAGACGTTACACAGGAATGACATCCAAGGTGGTACGTACATGTTACATGTGTACATGCAGATATACACATAGATAGAGAGGTGATCTGTGTGATACTACGTACAAGGTTTGTCAGCTTGACATATAAGACACGCGCACTTATCGCACATCAAGACCGACAGAAAATGATGAGAGCTGTTGAGCCATAAGCGTCGCCAGAGAAAATGCAAAGAATTATGGCCAAGCCTCAGCCATATTACCAGCAATTCTTCTTCTTCTTACTATTATTATACTACTTGTATTATTGTTAGCAGCAACAGCAGCTGGAAAGACAGTTCCCAGCGTAGAAGAAATCGAGTCAACCGCTTTGGACAGGCCCTTGGATTACATCTACCTCAGGAGCGGTGGTGTCGGTGTCCACGTGGCATTGAGCACTTCCGGGTTGGGGATTTAGGGTGCAGGTTTACGGTTCAGGGTTGGGGATTGGGGGCTTGTGAAGGTTCGATGTCTAACGGCTTAGGAAATTAAGGAATCCTGTCTTCAGTGTCTCGTTTCTTTGTGCAGGATTGGGGTCAAGATCCATGTCAGCCTGAAGCCATAAATCTTCAGCCCCAGACTATGACGAAGCTCCACAAAACGAGCCAGAAGTATGACAATGCTGATGTGGTGTGCATTGGTGCTCAGGTAAATTGAGGCTGAATACTACGGATGTGGGCTTTCACTATTCAACTTCCTGGCAAAAAAAATACGGGTGTGCAAGTCTTGAGGAATTTCAGGGGGGATAGCATTTATCCGCGCCGCGCCCTCCGTGTCGTTGCCATCGCATTGTGACTGAAGTGTGAGAATTATTCAGCAAGGGCCCAAACTCTGACGGCTGAAGCTTGAATTGACACGTATGTTTTCCAATGGACTGTTCGTATATTATTGAGCCTAGATACTAATATACTATTATATAGTATAACGAACGATAATATACGAAAATATGCTATAATATGATGTTCCAGATTTTGGTCGACTACGGGAGATTCCCAGAGCCTTTTGGTCAGCCAGTCGACTCTCTCCATTGTACCGCGCCTCTACAGGCAGCGGGTTAAGGGTTTAGGGTTTAGGGTTGCTGGCAGGGCTTCACCTGGTTGACTGCAGGTGATTTGGGGTATGGGAGGTGATGAACAAAGTCCAAGCGTTACAGGCAGCCCGGACTGGGAGATGCCCTTATCCGCACCTACACGCCCAAATCTGCATCCTCAATCCTCCACTTTTCTTGATTTCTAGACCCACAGGTCAGCCGACTACCCACCATGTTTGCCGGAGGAATCCTTGTTTTCAACAAAAGTTGAGTCTCCACAATATTGTTGTCTTCGTGCGTTTGGCTTACCATATAGCTCGCGCCATGCATGCACATACATGTACCCGTGCATGTGCAACATTTGCTCGGAACAGGGTTCACAGAAGGTGCGTACGCGCAGATAATTTATGGGCTTCATACAGAATCGAGTGCGTGGTTTAGCCCTTCTTCAACCCCGTTTTGAACAGAGTCCGCCTGGAGTCTGTTTTTCTTCCAGTTTGGGCAAGTTTCATCTAGCCTACTATGCTGTAGAGGAGCACAGATCCAGAGCCGTCAATCGTCTACAACATCCTAGCGGCTGCGGACGACAAGTCTACGAAAGCCGACAGGCATACCCATGGTAATAATCATAGTCATAGTAGTAACAATAGTAGTAATTAATTATATATATGTACATGTAGAGGGGTTATAGTAGAATAATAGTAACAATACCAACTTGGATAGTAATTTAATAACAGTAGATACAGGGGTTGTATTGGGATAATGGAAAAGAAGGTGTTTGGGCTTTGATGGGCATTTGTGCTCAAGGTCGAGGGGGAGAAATCCATTGCACGGAATACATCTCCATGGGAGCACTCACACCCTAAACCCTAATCCGCAGAGCCGGCCAAGCTGATTCAGGTTGATACTTGAAGTTTGAGATTGTAGCCGCATGGCTTCGTTTTTTTGATTTTCCAGGTGTCAGGCCCGAAGGGTTTCAAGTAGCAGGACGCGCATAACCAGCATCAATAGTGCAGTGCCTGGCCAATTATTGATCGCAAAGGCAGGGCAAACTGCACTTGTTCGCATTTTTGTCGAAAAACCTGTCAGCGTCTACTCAAGCCGAGCAAGAATCTTACAAGCTCCCGCAACTTCGGAACCCAAGCTCGCAGAGCTGTGACTTTATGATATTCTTGCTTTCTGTCTTGCGCCTTTGTAGCTGTCAGCAGGCAACTGCCCCTCCTCCCCTGGGCCAGCACCTGTTCTTCACAGGGGTCAAGGAACTCCTCCGTTTTTTGCTTTTCTGGAGTGTACGGAGGGGTGAGTATGACCAGCTAGTGACATGCGGAGGGGGCCAAGGAGTCCCTGCATGACGCATTTTGCAGCAGTTGAGTTTCAAAACTCATGGGTAGTTACTATGGATCCGTCGGAACGCTTCTTGTATATTTCCCAGCACCATAATTGGTTGCACGTTTGTTCCACTCCTTCATTGCCTGCTAACAACCAACAAGTAAACTCTCAATCCTCATGAATCCCTCCATTTACATCTCTGTATGCCCCTCGCTTCCATTTGCTTTTTCCATTTGAGTCTTCCTCATCCTAACTCCTCTTCCCTTGAACCCCCTATATCCCGATGAACTCCCTGTAATTTCCATGTTGTATTCCGCTGTGTTCGATCAGATTCTCCTTTATCTTAAATCTTAAACCCTATAGTAGCTTCTAGTTTCCGTTCCCTAAATCCGAAAAACCCTGAACCCCCACAAAAAACGGTTAAACCCTAAGCCCAAAGCCCAAAACCCTAAATCCTACACGATGCATCCTCGCTTCATAGGCTGGAGAAGTTGCTTTGGCTGAAGCAAATGGTAGTTCCCAAAATTAGGGGATCCCAATATAGACCCCATTGTACTACGATCCTTATTATGGGGACCCCCAAAAAGGTACCCCTAATTCTGGGAAAACAGAGCCCAGGGTCTTCTGACAGGGTTTAGGGTTTGGGGTTTAAGGTTTGAGTTTTAGGGTTTAAGGGTTTAGGGTTTAAGGGTTTAGGATCTGGGGTGGTGTTGAGATGGGCAGGATCACTCCATTCAGAAAGGTTGGGGTTTCGGGGTTAAAGGGGCTGATAAGGTATCGAATTGACAAAGTCACCCCTTGCTTTTCACAAGGAAAGAAGCAGTCGTTGACGTTGCTCAATACTTGCAGGTCCTGATTTTGAAATTACTCCACGTGTTTGCTTGTGAGGTTTATCTTGACATTTGTGCTCTTCAAAGCATGTAGCATTCATCCCGAGCGAGCAGGTGTTTGAGTCTGGGATTCGAGTTTACAGCGCGTGCTGCTTTCAGCATTCTCGATTGTACTGTAAGGCTCGCCACTTCCTCAGCTTCAGCATTTGAGGTCCCACATGGTTCAACGTGATGAGGGGTGCGGGCGTCGGGTTTTGAGTTCGAATTGTCAACGCCGCGGAGGTTTAGAACGGGCCCACCAAAGGCCTGCGTGCTTTCATAAGCCTGCATCCCTAAACTCTTGCTTTCATGACGGGCTTTAGTCGTAAGGGGTGCCCCCATCCGTCCTCCAGCTGATAACACGAACCTGAGCCGGCAAGGATCCTAGCAGTAGCTTCATGTTCCTCGTCATCTGTTGCGCATGGGGTGGGCGGGCTTCACTTGCCGCCGCCACCCCCTCGCCAGTGTTTTATGCAAGAACTTTGCTACTGTGACAGAGGACCAGAATGCAAGTGTCTCTAGTCGTATGGCGATAATTGCGGTAATTGCAGCCAAAGCCCTGTCATAACTTACAATTAAAATCCACAATTTGTCCGCATTTCAGACGACTGAAGATTTACAGTAGTCTCCAGTTAATTGTCCATTTAATTTGATTCTCCATTGTTAGGGTAATGCCTCCTATAATCCCTGAATAGCCCCTTTAAATCTCCTATATAACCCCGACCCCTATGCATTGAATTTTCCATGTCGCTGTCCATTCCGAATGTGAGCAGCTCCAAGTAGGGTACTCACCTCCCCGCTATGAGTACAGCCAGGCACACCCTCAAGGATAACATGTTGCAATATAGTACCGGTGTATGATAGGGGGGTTGCTTCGTATAGAGGGTGAGGCTGTTGTTTGTATGATAGGGGGGTTGCTTCGTATAGAGGGTGAGGATGTTGTTATGGGGAGGTGATTGCTTAGAGCTTGTGACAAACCACAGATCGTGCAATTTGCAATCTTTGCCACCTTGCTGGGCAACTCCCAATCGGTCATCCAGGGATCTCCTGGACCTCCCAAATGCCCAACAAGGGCGGCCAACGATCTCCTAACTCAGAGCCTCCAAGTATCATTGTAGTCTGTAAATTTAGGCAAGTACCACATGCTGAAGCACTGGGTCAGACAATCTGAGGATGCCCTCGTGGAAGCACTGGACCCGCAAAATCCTGAATCCTAACCCCTGAACCCTAAACAATTGGGGGAAAATATTTTTCCCCAATTGTTTAGTACATCCTAACCCCTGAACCCTATTGAATTCTGACCCACGGGGTGCTAGTGGTCCTTTGTGCACGGGATTCTTTTGTGAGACAACATGTCTAACTTATCACGTCTCAAATACCCATAATAAATTGAGAATCAAGAAAAAAGGAAAACCATTATATCCAGGGTTACATAGGAAGACCAGGGAGGGTAGCCAAATAATTGAGAATCAAATGGAAAAATGGAAATGCAAATGGGTTTATGTAGGTTTTCTTGGGGGACACCTAAACCCCCCAAATGCCCACAACAGCAGCCCATTTAAACCCATGGATTTGGGGTTCGGGGCCAACTATTATGGGAATTCGGAAGGATATGAAAAACTCTTACGCCCGTGCATCCGCCAAAAAAAACCCTACATAAATCCAGTTGCCATTGATTCTCCATTCTTGGGGCCCCATGAATCCCACACACAACCCTATCTAAACCCTAGATACAGTGGGTTTCCAAGGTTCGGATACCCCCTGCGCATATACCAGATCTCATGCCATTTCCCATGTGGTTTTCCATTTGGTTCTCCATCATTGAGGGTAAAGCCTAAACACCCTAAAGACATCGGAACCCGCTCAGGATGGCGCGCGTCTATGCAGATGGCCTGGCGAACTATCGGAGTCAGAACTTCAAGAAGGCACCTCATTTAAGGTTTAGGGTTTAGGGTTCAGGGGTTAACTGTTCCGGGTGTAGGGATTGGGGTTCTATTAGAGGTTTGTATTAGGGTATATAGGGTTTATTATCACCCAAGAATGGAGAATCAAATGGGAAAATCAAGTGCAAACTTGGGTTATGTAGGGGCTTATTAGTACTTGGGACCTGAAACTTCGAAATGGTAGTTTCCATACATGGTGGGAATCCAGTATTTAGGGCCTGGCGGCAGGTGACGGCCTGGCCGCTGCCCCCCTTGCCCACCCAGCTAGCAGTGAAGGCCAAGCCCGCCCCAGCCCCTGTTCTCTCTAGTTTAACTGAAAGCGGCCCAAAATGGGGTCCCAATTGTGCGATGATGTTCCTGTACGAGGCGCGTGCGCGCGCGCGCCTCATACAGGAACATCAGCTGCACAATTGGGACCCCATTTTGGCTTGATTGGGACCAGGAGGGGTGAAAAACCCAAGGAAAGCCATCAAAGATGACTTTAGGCAAGGTTCTTTGTGCAGGCTGCCCATGTTGTAGCCCACAAGTGAGTTTTTGGGGCAAACCAGCTGCCAGTAGCAGCCACATTTCACGCATTGGACAAGCTTAGGAGCCACAAAAGTGCCGAAAATGTAAGCAAGGCACATCCAAAAACCATGCAACATGCGCATGTTATAGGGTTTGGGTTTGGCTTGGGCAATGCACGCCAAACCTGTCTCATGCTTGAAATACAGTGCAGATCCTACCAACACTGGTATTTACAGCCACAAACGCTGCCCAAAGCATTTATTTTGAGCGTTTTGCTGTTGTTTTTTTAGCACTTTTTGAGCGCCCTGCAGCCCCCCAAGAGCCAGCATCATGAGCATCATGGGGTTTGTTTGGCCCCCAATTTCCTTCTTGACACCACACATATGAGGCTTCAAGACCCCTCCAAAACTCTAAGACCTAATTGTACTGATGATGCTGGCCTAAAAAACAATCTTTGACCCTCAAAAACACAAAGGGTTGCGATGGTTTGTGCCGCACGCCCTATAAGCATAGCTTAGCTAGGCATGCATCCGCACTGGACCACGACGG